CAATTCTAAGCAGTCATTTAAATCAAAACAAAACCTATGTTTCTGCAAAGAACAGCTTGAGAGATAAATGGTCACTGGACAGTGAAAGCAACATAAGTATATAAAAAACTCTTCTAAAGTCAAAAGAATTTTGTATCTTGAAATGGATACTATTTTTCATTGTAAAAGATTCACAATTTTCATTTTAAATGGCCTTAAAGAGGGTGGTGTCAGAAGTTTGCCTACAGAAAAAAAAAAAGGGGAAGTGGGAGTAACATGAGAATCAATTAACGTGGATAACTTTTATTTGTTCACAGAATATTACACAATATTTGAAATGATCTAATATCCGAGAAATGAGATTTCTATTCAGACAACTAGGCTGACTACTGTACACATATCCTCTTATGTAATCCAACTGGCCAAACATAATACTCCCCATCAGTCAGATTCCCTGGCTCTCAGTACAGTCTTCTACAGGCTCTCTAAAAGAACACAGTTCAGACTTTCTGTTTATGGCTCCTCCCAAAGAAGCCTGAAAATCTATAAAATCCTTTCAAATATCTTAAAGAGGACATGTCATTTTTCATTATAAGTTTAAAATGTTACAAAGGATGTACTTTCCAGAGCATTAAATACTGATCTTCACAAATAAAAGCCACATATTCTATTAAATATATTCTATCCAAAAAAAATTTCACAACAGTTGTGTTAGCAATAAAAAAAATTTAAAAAACAAAAAACTGCAAACAACCTAAGTTCCAATAGTAAAAGAATTAATCATATAAACCCATTCTATGAATACTAAGCAGGAATTTTAAATATTGAGGTACAGAATGGGACTAGAGAAGACAGTTTCATGGATAATCTTTGCTTTGTCTATATTGCTTGAGTTTCAGAACATAAAATACAAGCATTAATCAAGTAACCAAATTTTTTAAAGAAGACTAACAGGTACTTCAACTTCAATACCAAGTATGAACCACTCTCATGGAGGAAATCACTTACTTCATCAATAAAGGCTTGCTCCGGTTCTGGCTCTATTGTTTCTACTTGAACATCATCACTAAATTGTACCGTCTTCTTCTCTGTTTTGACTGCAAAACATGTAATATTTATCTTTTCCTTATAATAAACTTAAAAATCTATCCTGAAGTACTTTAAATTGCATGAGAGAATTTGGATTCTTCTTATACTCCCTTCAGTTTGGGAGACTCAATTTAAGGAATCATTAAACTGCAGATTTAGGCAATAATAAGAGAACATTATTTTATGGAATTCTTAATTCTTATTTTATGGAAATCTTATTTTATGGAAATCTTAATTAAAGATTTCTTAATTTTTTCTTCTAAGATTTTACATTTTCCATAATAGATACTTCATTAAAAATAAGAGATGTGTTTCTGAAACAAAGATTAATCACCCACTATATATGAGAGTTTAGTAAATCGGTGGACCAAAAGTAAAGTTTTACAAGTCATAAATGAACTCTGCAAATTAAAATAAGTCCTCTTTTAAATTTCCAGTCCTTTCAAAGAAAAAAATCTCATTTGAAAGACCATGCTATTTCAATGTAGTGAACTAAAGTCAGCTATACATTCTATGGCAAGCCACTCAGACTTTTTAGTAAGAGAACGACATCCAGGTCAGTGAAGAACTTTATAAGTGACATTGGTAGTGATCTGAATTTTCCACTAAATTGGCCTGCATTTTTTAGTTACATTATTCTTTGAAATAAAAATGGTATTATAAAGGGATCTGCAAACCAATGGCCAGAAGCACATATTTCTCTTGCTTAACAAAGCAATCTTTTAAAACTATTCAATATATCATTAACTAGTAAATATAAAGCTATGATTAATAGAGCAATTAACTTTCTCCCCAAAAATATTGAGAGGCCCATACAGCTTTAAAGGAAAGAAATTCTTTTCTGCATTTTTCACCCTTGTACCAATGTGGTTAATCAGTATTAATAAAAATATTAAAAATCAAGATGAGAAGGGGTTTGGGAACAGAGCAAATTAAGAAAGAAAAGGAAATATATTAATTTTTACATGTGCATAATAGAATATATTTCCCCCCAAATCAATCTCTTATACCATCTTTTTTTTTTTTTAAGATTTTATTTATTTATTCATGAGAGACACACAGAGAGAGGCAGAGACACAGGCAGAGGGAAAAGCAGGCTCTCTGGGGAGCCTGATGTGGGACTCGATCCCATAAAACTACGGGATCATGCCCTTAGCTGAAGGGAGATGCTCCACCACTGAGCCACCTGGGCGTCCCAATCTCTGATGCCATCTTATGAGATATGCCCATTTTAAAAATGCGGTTAACAGCTGCACTAGTGTAATATTAAAAACACTTGCAAAGGGAAAGCTAATGTATGACACAGCCTGGATTTAAATGCCAATCTATCTGGTGCTACCATCCCACATACTGGAATCTGGCTAATTATTTTTTTACTCTAAGAACAAGAACCTATACCACTTATGTATTCTGTGTTGTATGCTTCTGTATAAAATGCAGATAATTTAATTTCCATTCAAGTCACCATACAGTAAAATTCTATATACACACAGAAAGTTTCTGCTGATTTTATTTTCCCATGGGGGTAAAAGAGACATGTGCTAGAGATATTTCTGCTTTTTATAGCTATTAACAGGTAGAACTGGGAAAACACTGCATTGGCTGCTTGACATCTTAACAGCTGACCATGCACAAGTTGTCAGCACTTTTTCGCAAAGGGACTAATACTATTACTATATATGCATGCGTGTGTGTGCGCATATGCATGTGTGTATGTATTATATAGGTACACAAAATAAACTCTTTTCACAATATCTTCCTACACTTCCACAAGGAAAACAAGCTAAGCAGGGCAGGTACTTCTACTTAACATTAAGTGGGCTTGTTTCCTCATAAAGAATAATGCTATGAAGATCATGCTAATACTCATTTCCCAAGCCTAAGAACTACAATTCCATTACATAAGCTCTGCTGCTCCTGCTCTTCTTTTCAGTAGTCTAAAGTAAAACACAGGAAGAGCCAGAACACTCATTTTAAAGCTGCACTGATATATGTTGGGGGGGAAAAGATGAGTTGGCTATGATCCATAGGAAATCTTGGATCTCATCTTGAACAGAAGTCCAAGACAATTCTATCTTTCCCAATAGCTTATTGAGGACAAAATAAAAAACCCAAACCTCAAAAAACAAAGAAAAAAAATCACTACCATGAGCCCAGGTTAAAAAGTTGGCACACAATACATTGCCATTTAAAATGGGTTCTACAACATATTTTCTGAGCTCTAACAAAAAAAAAGCTCCATTACTAGAATGGGGATCAGGAAACTGTCTCTCATAAATCTGTCATAAAATGACATGAGACAACTTGGCAATAATTATGAGACAACATCATTTCATCAAAGATTAAAGTAATGTCTGATTTATTGTTAAAGTGAAGTGTTCCTAAATTTTTTGAAGAAAAGTATCTTTTATATATACATATATATATACACATACACATGTATGTAAATATACACACACACATCTATGTATCACTTTTGTACAAATATTTATATAGTCTGTATCCTGGGTAAGACTGAGTACTATGGGGACGCCTGAGTGGCTCAGCAGTTGAACATCTGCCTTTAGTTCAGGATGTGATCCTGGAATCCCCGGATTGAGTGCCCATGGGGAGCCCGCTTTTTCCTCTGCCTGTATCTCTGCCTCTCTGTGTTTATCATAAATAAATGAATAAAATCTTTAAAAAAAAAAAAAAGAGTACGACATGCTGTTGGATATGAAAATATGACTAAGACAAAGATCCTTTCTTAAAATTCTTGTAAACTAAAAAAGACCTAAATATCCTGCAGCTTATAACTGTCTCTAATCCCTTCTTCTGGCACTAGAAAATTAGATGAGGTGAGATATTTTGCCAGATAACTACAGCTTACCAACTTATACATAAAAACTCTTAAAATTCTAAATCTTTCAGTCACTAAAAGAAATCTTTCTACACTAGAACATATTTCTGTTTCCTTAAAATAGAGGGAGATTATGACTTAATCTTGATGACCCTCACTCATCATTATGATGATCAGTGAAGTATAGTATTATGTAAAAAAACTATAGTGAACTGTCTACCAACATTTTGGTAGATTATCAGTAGTTACATCTCCTGCAACTATTGTGCCTGCCAATAACATCACTTTTCCTCCTATGCACCACTTCCTAGTTTATTTCCCCTAATAGCCCAGGTTTGGAAACCAAACAAAAAAGTACTTACATGATTAGTTATGGCTCCTTCTGACTATCTGACATGGAGGCTTAGGAAAGCCATTATATTGCTTACAGGCTACTGCTTCTGTTTGGAGCTAGACACTAAAGAAACGGCCTTAATCTTAGAACAGCAAGAATTCTCTAGGAGATTACACTGCACTAGTCATATTTTATCAACTGAAAATGAAAATACATAATGCAAAAATTTCATAACACTTCTTAATCTGCAGATTTATAATGGCACATATATAGTTTTTCTAAAGAAAAGTCCACAGTCAAAAAAAAAAACAAAACAAAACACACACATGCAAAAAAAAAAAAAGTCCACAGTCTGCCCAATTATCTGATTAAGGACAATCTTAGTAGACAATTTCAATTTGTAGATAATTAGATGATTTCTGGTAAATAACCTGACTAGTAAGCTGCACTTTTTTTTTTTTTTTAATTTTTATTTAGAGACGTCTGATTGGCCTAGAGGTTAAGTGCCTGCCTTTGGCTCCGGGCATGATCCCAGGGTACTGGGATCAAGTCCCACACCGGGCTTCCTTCAGGGAGCCTGCTTCTCCCTCTCTCTCTGTCTCTGCCTCTCTCTCTCATGAATAAAATCTTTACCAAAAAAAATTTTAATTCCTGTTAGTAAAAAAAATAAATAAAAATAAATAAATTCCTGTTAGTTAATATACAGTGCAATACTGGTTTCAGGAGTAGAATTTAATGATTTATCACTACATACAATACGAAAATATGGAATGCTTCACAAATCTGTGTGTCATCCTTGCACAAGGGCCATTGTAATTTCTGTATTGCTCCAATTTTAGTATATGTATTGCAGAAGCAAGCACACAAGATGCATTCTTTATAAACACTTTGCAGGCACTATCACCTGAGAGTCCTAGCTCAGCTTGTAACTTTCCATAACTTTCCATAAAGTTGAATTTACTCAACTTTTATTTAGAAGACAACTCTGGATTATCATCCACTTACAGACTAGAAAATACTTACTCATTTCTGGTTCAGCAGTAAGATCAGCAGTCACAAAATTAGAAGGAAATAACCCCATACCTTGATGGGTTTCACCTTTCCACCAGTTGGGATCACTAATGAGGAACAAAAAAGAATACCTGATTATAATAAAGATTTTTATCTCTATAAATGTCTACCTTTTACAGTGTTTAACTTGCATTATTACTGGATTTGAATCCCCCAAAAATCTAATGAGGGAAAAAATGAATGTACCATTATTACAAATAGAAGATGAAGCCTCAAAGATGTTAAAGAAGTGTTTAAACACACAGCTCTTATCTTTTGGAAGGCTGGTAAATGCTTTGAGGATTTAATACAAGATTGTGAACTTTCTCCCCAAAAGAGAGATCTCTATATTTGTCTTCAGGTAGTTCATGAGTTCCACTGTAAGATTCTTTTGTAATAAGATAATGATAGGCTCTTAATTCAGATCCATTCCTAAATTAGTGCTCTCTGTTGTATATACTCGCACATTCCCATCCCCACAAGAAACAACACGACAGATGACATTGTTTATAATAAAACATTCACAATGAACACTCTCAGATACATCCCGTGGTTCACCATTGTACCCTTGGAGCCTAGTATAAGCTAGCAAGCTCTCAATGAACATTTTTGAATGAATCAATCAAGGTTTTGTGCAATTTCCAGCTAAGCAGCTCAAACTTCATTTTCTTTTACTCAAGAAAACAACAGAAGTGTGATACTATAGGAATAACCTAAATTTTTTACAATTTATTTTTTAAAACCACTTGCAAATGTTAGTACTTCATTATCAGTAAAAAATCATCAGTAACAATTTTTGAGTGAACATAAATAAAACTAGAGTCAAAAGCCAGATGTTCTCATCAGAAACACAGAGTTGCTGAAGGGGAGAGGCGTAGGGGGATAACTGGGTGATGGACATTAAAGAGGGCATGTGATGTAATGAGTACTGGGTATTATATAAGGCTGGTGAATCAATCCTAGACCTCTACCTCTGAAACAAATAATAAACTATACATTAACTGAATTTAAATTAAAAAACAGGGATGCCTAGGTGGCTCAGCAATTAAGCATCTGCCTTTGGCTTGGGGAGTGATCCTGGGGTCTCGGGATCGAGTCCTACATCAGACTCCCTGCATGGAGCCTGCTTCTCCCTCTGCCTGTGTCTCTGCCTCTCTCTATGCAGAGAGAATAAATGTCTCTCATGAATAAATAAATAAAATCTTAAAACAAAATAAGAAAACCAATGTATTGAATCACCTCCAATAATGTAAATGTATATATATAATGCCATGTAAAATGAATTTGTTCCACACAGATATACTATTATGCTATTTTTTGTGAATAAATAAGTTCAATATATTATGTATTTATCACATATCACATAAATACAAATACATATGTGGTATATTATCTAAAATCTTAACCTTACTAATTTAATAATCTATATTATTAGATGGAACAAAAAAAATGAATAAACTAGATCTCAAAAAAAATAAAACTATTTAAAGAAAAGATGAGAAAAAATTAAACTACAAAGTAAGAATCTAGGCAATATGACACAAGCAAAGCAACCATCACACACAGGAAATATTTATATCAATATTTTTTCTTATTACCTTTGATAATGGCAATCAACAGGAATAATATGAAACACAGAAGTAATGTTATATATTTTCATATGAACGTCAACTTAATATCAATTTGATATTATCCATCACCTGTCATCAAGAACTGTAATAATTTCTCCAGCTTTAAAAGTAAGTTCATTATCTTCAGCAGCTTCAAAGTCATATATAGCACGAACTTTTCGACCTTCGTGTTGGTGGTTAGTTAAAAGATTAGATGTGCTTGGGTACAAAGTAGAAAGGGTGGTTGACTGTTGCCTTTGCTCCTTCAAGGATAACTCAATAGCTGGAAAATAATGAGTTAAAAAGACCCAAAATGTTAATATATCCAACGATCCAAAGAAGTACAAAAAGGTATCTGAAGGTAAAATATATTCTTTTAAATGTGGAGCTGGGAAGTAGGACATATCTTGACACACTGAACGAAAATAATTTCATCAATTTTATTCATTCACAACTGAAAGTTTAAAGAATAAACTATAAAAAAGTTGAACAGCATAATGACTAGTTTTTTAAGAGTTTATTTTTTTATGTAATCTCTATACCCAACATGGAGCTTGAACTCATAATTCCAAGATCAAGAGTTGCATGCTCTACCAACTGAGCCAGCCAGGTGCCCCACATAATGACTACTTTTACTGAATGGATAAAATTTAAATTATTCTGGGTAATAAAAAGATATAATCTCTTAAATCCACTTTTTTTAGTTACAGATATTTTTATTTTCTTTCATCTTTTCAATATATTTCTATAGCTTCTGTTTCCAAAATGCTAAAGTCAATTGAGAAGTCAAGAGTCCCAAATCTCAAGGAAGACTTAACTAAATCAGGGTATCAAAGGTATTATCCAAGAACCTGCACTTGGCTCCAAAGTTAAATCTTATGTAATTAGTCTAATAAGTGGATTTGGAAATAACTATAATGAAGTTTCACGTGACAAATTCCCCCAGAGAAATTTCAAATGTGTGTTTTTCTTATGGTGGGGGAAAGGGGACAGACGGAGAGGGGGAGAGAATCTTAAGCAGGGTCCACGCCTAGTGGGGAGCCCCAGGTGGGGCTAGATCTCAGAAGTCTGAGATCATGACCTGAGTCAAAATCAAGAACCAGACACTTGACTGACTGGCTGAGGCACCCAGGCACTCCTCAAATGTGTCTATCACTTCCACTCCTCCCCTAGTAAAGGCTATCATCATATGTCACTCAGGCTCTGCAATGTAATCTGCACTGATTACCCAACTTTCAACTCAAACCATGACCCCTTCATCCCTTCCATCTCTGTTCTACATTGATAAAAGACCTATAGGACAAAGAAAACTTTAAAACTATCATAAGGAAATACAGGAAAGTACCTTTTAAGATTTGGGGGTAAGGAAAAATAAGATACAAAAAAAAGCAAAAATCAAATATTTTGACTAGATTAAAATTTTAAAATTTCATTTGATAAAATATACCATTATCAAAGTCAAAATAAAAGCCAAAAATCAAGAGCAGGTATCTATAATAGAAATAACAGGCAAAAGTTTAATATCCAAAATTAAGACTTTCTACATATCATTATCTTAAAAAAAAAAAAAAGCCACACACGCACAAAACACCTCAGTAAGAGACATCAGTATAGCTAATGAACACACAAAAGAGGACCAGCCTCACTAGTAATCAAGGGGATAAAAGTCAAGATAAATGGACATTATTTCCAACCTATCAGAATCACAAATATGAAATTATGACAATACCAAATGTTTTCAGGAGATAAAAAATATAATAACAACTTTCATATACTGCTAATGGCAAAAGAAAGAATAAAACTATTTTGCAAAGTTGAAGATGTACTTCCCCCATAAGCCAAAATATCAGTTGCAGTCACACAAAACACACACACACATAAAAGAAAATATGTACAAGAATACTCAACGCAGCCCACTTACTATAGTAATAAAACAAACCAACCAAAAAACCCAAACATCACAAGAAAATATGTACAAGAATACTCAACGCAGCCCACTTACTATAGTAATAAAAAAACAAACCAACCAAAAAACCCAAACATCCATCAGTAGCAGGACAAATAAACTATAATATATATTTATCAGTACAATGGAATATTATATAATGGCTGAAATAAATGAATTCTATTTATATGTTTTATTATGATCGTAGACATACTGTTGCATAAAAATAAACTACAGATGGTATAACTACTGACAGAAAATATTTGGTGGATGCATAAAAGTATTTAGTATTGTTTATAGAGACAGAGTGTAATAAAAACAGTATTGCCCATAGACTTAAAGGACATATGAATACTAGTTGTCTTAGAAGAGTATCAACTGACACCAAAGAGGGGCACAAAGCAGATTTCAAGGTTAGCTTATAAAGTCCTATGTCTTTTATTTTTAAGTATCTCAGTAAACAAATATTAAGTAAGGGACCCATTTCCTTCCCACCTTTCCAACATCGGGGACTTAAAAACATACCTTTTGCTAAGTCTTCTTCTTCTTTTTTGTTAGCCACAGTACCAGGATCTTTGGCAACCAACGCTGGGCTTGCTTTTGCTTGATCTGCAGCCTAACACAAAGACAGGAACACAATATTTGAAGACTGTTCTCAAATTTTCCTACCTCCTTAATCTAAGAACTTATAAGAGCTTTCTTAATCAATCTACTAGATTTTTAAAGCAGAAGATAATCCAAATGGAGCAGTCTCCACTCCGAAAGGAGAAGAGTTCGAACTGGAGAGAAAAGACCTGGACACTGAGGGTGAAGAGCCTAATTGCACTCTCTTAAATTTGTGTAAAGATAGGAAGCTGAAAGAAGACAATCAAAAGAAGACAGACTAGGGGAGATTTAAAAAGTATTAGAAAAATCCTAAAACCAGAAAAAGGGAGAGAGACTCTTTCCCAGAGATCTTGGGAAAGGGAAGGCAATACTATTTTAAAAACAAAGCTTTTAAATTTAAACCATCTATTCAACAGTTATATTTTATTGCTTTCTTCCAGATTAAGAGGCAGGATGTTATCTTTAGGAGTAGAGACTTATATACAATGATATAATATTCATAAAATTACACTATTTTGTAAACTAAAATACAAATAGTTAATTCTGACAATATAGTTCAGTTACCAGTAACTGCTAGCGAGCGCACACACACTCACTTTTCATATCTCTGACACTTAATAATGTCCTCCCCTTTGGCTCCTGTAACTCTGTC